CCCGCGGCGCCGCATCGGCTGGCGCCCCGGTCTGCCAGGAGGTGGAGGAGGGTGGAGACGGAGAGGAGGATGAGGGGGCGGGAGGGGGCGGGCATCCTGGCAGCTGCGCGCTCGCCTGATCTCAGCGTTGTAGCTGATGACGTGGGGCTCCGCGCTGCTTTTTCATGACTCGGGCGCGCAGCGCCCCTTCGAAGTTTGCGCGCCGCAGGGGGGGGCCGCTCGGACGCGAAATGGCTAGGAGGGGGAGGAAGGGGAGGAGGGGGAGGAGGAGGAGGCGGAGGAGGGGGAGGAGGAGGAGGAGGAGGAGGAGGAGGAGGAGGAGGAGGAGGAGGAGGAGGAGAAAGAGGAGGAATCGCGCCGCAAAGCCCTCGAGGACCCCGCGAGGCGCGACGGGCACGCGGGGATTCGCCTGGAGGCCGGCTTCTTCAGCAGCGGCTGCGTCAGGCCCTTCATGATTTCCCCTGCGGGCGCCGGCGCCGCGCGGGGCCGCATGCGCTCCCCGCTCTCCCTCTGCGCCGCCCCTCTGCGCCCCCGAAGGGGCCCCTCGCCTCGTCGTCCTCCTCTCCAAACTCGAGCTCCCTCTGCTCCTCCTGCCCCAGCTCCCCGCAACCCCCTCTTCCCCCTCCTCCTCCCCTCTTTCTCCTCTTCCGCAGTCGTCGTGGGGGTGGTCATGCTGGTTGGCGTCGTCCTGTTTACTGGATAAAGTGGCATCTTCGTCGCGGTCGGGTACATCTCGCTCGCGGTGTCCGTGACGGTCAGGGAAGAGTGAGTAGCTTTCTCAAACGACTATGTCGGATAGCCTGTTTCTGGTCCTGCTTCCTCCTCGTATCCTACTCCTCCTCCTCCACCTCCTTCTCCTGTCCATCATCTTCCTCCTCCTCCTCCTGATCCGTCTCCTCCTCGTTCCTCTGCCACCTCCTCCCAGCCCGTGCTGCGGGCCAGCGGTGGCAGACTGGCCAAGTCGCGCGGCAGGCTGCGGTGGTCTCGGGCCTCACGGAGTTGGCTGGACCACGATATGTGCGCCATGGGACGAAGAAGGACGTGCTAGCACTGCGTGCCCTCCTCGGAGGCGTGCGTCCAACCCGAACATATAGTACATCCATATTCTCTTATATAATTCCCCGAGCGCTACGGCCAGAAAGCGCCCGCCGCCGAGCATATACGATACAATGTCTCGGCGCGCGCGTCGTCATTTCGGAGGCGACGCAAACATATATCATAATGTTTAGGTGGCACCGACGCCAAGGCAGCTGTGCCTGACGCAGGCCGTGGGTCGGGTCATCCCGCTCGCTCATTCACGAGCCGTGCCAATGCCTCCTCTCACGAGCGACGAATCTATCCGCATGCATTCCCTCGCGGTCTGGACGCCGAGGCGCGACCCCTGGATACTCCGTGGACATCGAGGACGCATGCTTGGGGATTTTGTGCGCATGCTCAGAATCTCCTGAACACCGAAACCAGCTCAGAACTGGTTGTGGTCGATATGGGCGTCCCACACGGCCAAAGCGGCCACAACCACAATCAAGATGCTCATGTCGAGGTCGGTGGGTTCTCCCCCGAGGGGCCCTCCAGAAACATCCGCTTAGTTGTGAATGGTAGCGGTATCGGTGCCTTGTCCTCCCCCGGGGGATCGAGGATCGGAGGGGGCCTGGGTCCTGCCTCCTGGGAACCCTCCGGGGGGGCAGCTAGCCCATTCCTCCTTTTCGTTGTTGCGACGCGCGCGTTGAGCGGTCGGGGCGCCGCGCGGCGGCGCCCAACGCTTCGAGAGGCGGTGCCCAGCTCAGGCGAGTGCACCTATTTGGGGGGGGCGCCACACACGACCCGCACAGGGGAGTGCAGGACTGCGCACGGGTAGCTGCCTTCGCATGAAGCCCATTCCTCCTGCGGTGACCGCTTGTCAATCTCGGCTCTAGAGCACGGGGCGTGAGCATCCGCGCGCTGGCGCCGAGTTATGGGGCTCCCTGGCTGATGTCGTCGCGGCCGCAGATCTGGGTGGCGTGGACTGGCCCTGGTCGTCGTCGTCGTCGTCCTCCTCCTCCTCCTCCTCCTCCTCCTCCTCCTCCTCCTCCTCCTCCTCATCCTCCCCTCCCCATCATCATCATCATCATCATCATCATCATCATCATCATCATCATCATCATCATCATCATCATCATCATCATCATCATCATCAGCATCAGCATCATCATCATCATCGTCATCATCATCATCATCATCATCATCATCAGCATCATCATCATCAACAGCAGCAGCATCATCATCGTCATCATCATCATCAGCATCATCATCATCATCATCAGCATCATCATCTTCATCATCAGCATCATCATCATCAACAGCAGCAGCATCATCATCGTCATCATCATCATCAACATCATCATCATCATCATCATCATCATCATCAGCATCATCATCATCATCATCATCAACATCATCCTCCAACTCTTGCTCCCAATTGTATGAGCTCCCTGTGTTGGCTCGCCGGAAAGGCAACGGTGCCGCATGTGCAAATGATGAGGCTGGCGCTGCGCCCTCGCCTCCCGTCACAGTTGGACGCAAGTCAGGAGTGGCGCTGCAGGAATGATAGCACCTATGAAGAATATCTCGCTCCGTGGACCATTTTTTTCAGCGCAAGAGAAGCAACACATCCACTGCCCTTCTGGAGACTATCCCAATAACGCGACGAAGACCAAACCACACTCGCGCACAGCACTCATCAGAAAAAGCCTCGCACCGTGATGAAGAGAACCCGGTGGCAATCCAAGCGGTCGCAGCGGCAATCCCGCTCCGTGGACCATGCTGACCCTTCTGCCCATGGAAGAGAGGTGCTCGGCCCAGACCTTCGACAGATTGCTTTCTTCACGACGTGGGCCCCTGCACGCTCGACCCCATCCCTGGCATCGACTGCTCGTCGCGGGTCGTGGCTTGGAGACGCCCAGGGAAGACGGACCGTGACGGACCAGTCCCAGTGACGCTAAGGCTTCGGGTAGCGCACAGGCAGGCTAGTCCTGGCTGGTCTCCACAGCCCCCCCCCCCGAGTAGTCCCAGCCAGCCTCCGAGCAGTCCGCGGCGGTCTCGACGCCCCAACCCTGGGGCACGGAGAGCCCCCTTGGCGCGCTGTCGGAGGCGACGCCAGGGTGTCGAGACCGCCCTGCACTACTCGAGGGAACTGTTGAGGCCAGCTGGGACTACACGTCGGTCGGAAGAAGCAAACCAAGACATGAAGCAGGAAGGCGGATAAAGCAGATTGGGGTCAGGCCCTGCCAGAAAATATCAAACCACAACAAAAGCTTATTGATTCTTGAAGTAGGAAGGCGCCTGAAGTAGATTTAGATCTGGGAATTCGGAAATACTCTCTTTCAACGACTGGCGTGTCCTCGGGGGGCATTTGGAGGCCAGCCACGACTACCTGGGGAAGCTGTCTGTGTGGATAGCCCGAGGCCTTACTATCGCGCTCCGACGGTGACTTCGGAGCCTCTACGTAGGACGTCTGCAAAAACAAACAGCCAGCCATCGCTTCGGCGACCCAAGGGGTGGAGCCCCGAAGGGATCCCCCAAGGGCTTCGTCGAAACAGAAGGGCCCCCCCGAAGGGTGGGACCACGGCTTCCCCGGCTGCGGCTGGCCTGGAACAGCAGCTGCAGCAGCAGCAGCAGCAGCAGCAGCCGAAACACATCGGGCGAACCCCTTCCGCGGACCCTAGCGCCGCCAGGACGGGGGAGGGCAGAGAGGAGAGAGGAGAAAGGGAGGAGAAAGGGGGGAGGGGAGGAGGAAGGGAGGAGGCGGCAGGGAGGAGGAGGACGAGGAGGAAAGGAGGAACGAAAGGGAGGGAGGAGGAAGGGAGGAGAAAGAGGAGGAAAGGAGAGGAGGGAGGAAGTGAGAGGAAGGGAGGAGGGAGGGAGAAAGGGAGGAGAAGGAAAGGAGGCAGGGAAGAGGCGGGGAGGAAAACAGGGGAAAGGGCGGCGGACGGACGCAGCTCCGATCTGTCGGCACGTTGCCTCGACAGCCCACTCGGGGCCGGTTGGCACGCGCCCCACGCATCAAGGCCAGGCCTTGCGCTGGCCACGCCGCTCTCCGCGCGTCGATTCGGCAGCAAGCCTCGGCTCGTCTCGCTTCGACCCTGCATCGCCGAGGGCAGGTCAGAGGGGGAGGAGTGGGAGGCGCAGGAGGGGGAGGAGGAGAGAAGAGGAAGGGGCGTCCTCCTCCTCTCCCGCCTCCTCCTCCTCCTGCTCCTCCTCCTCCTCCGCGACCTGCGCGAACCCGCCCTGGCTTTCCCCGGCCCCGCCAGGAAGGCTAGCAGCGGGCTGTCGGGTGCGAAAAGATCTTCGGGCCAAAAAATGGGCTGCGCGCTGAGCCGCTGGACGTGATCTGGGCGGCGAGATGAGGAACGGGGACGCAGTGCGCAGGGAGGGCGCGGGCAGGGGTGGGACGACGAGGGGAGGGAAGGGAGACGACTAAGGAGGGGAGACGACGAGGAGAGATCGAGGAGGAGAGAGGGGGAGGGGAGAGGAGGAGGAGGGGCGAGGAAAAGGAGGAAGAGGAGGAGGAGGAGGAGCTCTATTCTTCATCGTGCCTGGGCACGGAGGTTGTGATGGTGGAGATGTCGGAGCCCGAAAGCGGATCCCAGACGGCACAATTATCACCACCATGAGAATCGTGGATGGTTTTAAAAAGGGGGGGAGGGGAGACGAGCGACAATGGAGGCGAGGGATGGCAGGGTGGCCTGCTCTGGAAGCGTGCTGTCTTTGAGGTCGCATCTGTCTTCGAAATCCCACCAGCTCTTGGGGCCAAGGTCGTCAAGTGATAGACACTCCCATCCCTGAGGCTCTGTTCGAGGAGTCCGCGATGTGGCAGGAGGGCCTGATTCGCCCAGGATGACTCCTCATCCGCCTCCTCCTCCTCCTCCTCCTCCTCCTCCTCCTCCTCCTCCTCCTCCTCCTCCCCCTCCCCGTCCCCCTCCCACTCCCCGTCCCCCTCCCACTCCTCCAGCGCGAACGCTCTTGCCTTTTCCTGCCGCCGCGGGATCACCCTGCGCTCCTGCGGCGGGTGGAGTGCGCCGCGGCCGCGCCGCTCGCGTGTAAGCAGTCGTCCTGCTGGGGCGTTGGGCGGACAACGCCCCCACGCGCCTCTCATGCTTTTCTCCCTCTCTCCCTCTCTCTGTCTTTCTTTCAGCTCTTTCCTCCTCATCCTCTTCCTCCTCATCCTCCTCCTCTCCTCTTCCTCGTCACCCTCCTCCTCCTCATCCGCCTCCTCCTCCTTCTCCTCGTCGCCCGCCCGCTCTTCCCCCTCCTCCTCCTCCTCCTCCTCCTCCTCCTCGTCTTTAACCTCCTCCTGCTCCTCCTCCTCCTCCTCGCCATCATCATCATCAGCATCATCATCATCATCATCATCATCATCATCATCATCAGCATCATCATCATCATCATCATCATCAGCATCATCATCATCATCATCAGCATCATCATTATCATCATCAACATCAACATCAGCACCGTCATCGTTATCATAATATCAACAAGACTAACAATAATGCGAATACTAGTGATAACACCAATACTGTACATACTAATAATATGAATAGTCATTATACTAATAGTGATAATAACAACAATCTAAATACTCATAATAACCGTCATCATCGTAAGTATAATCACCATCATCATCATCAGCAGCATCATCATCATCATCATCATCACCACCACCACCACCATCATCATCATCATCATCAGCAGCAGCATCATCATCATCATCATCATCGTCATCATCATCATCAGCATCAGCATCAGCATCAACATCAGCATCATCATCATCATCATCATCATCATCATCATCATCATCATCATCATACATCAGCATCATCACCATCATCACCATCACCACCATCATCATACATCAGCATCATCACCATCACCACCTTCACCACCATCTACATCTACATCACCATACATCAGCATCACCATCACCATCTACATCATCATCATCATCATCAGCATCATCACCATCATCATCAGCATCGTCATCAGCATCATCATCAACATCATCATCATCATCATCGTCGTCGTCAGCATCGCCATACTCATCATCACCATCGTCAGCATTGTCATCAGCATCACCATCAGTATCATCATCAGCATCATTATCCTGCTGCCTCACGGGGGGGGCCAGAAATGGGAGAGATGGTCCGAGAAGCACCCGAGGCCAGCGGGGCTTGGGCAAGGACAGCCCGCGGCTGCTCGAGGTGCGAAACGGCCACTGCCAGAACCAAACGCCCATGCTAGAGCTAATTACTCGACGCGCAAGCCCCCAGATGTGCATCTCAAGCCTGGAGGCGTTCTATCAAGAACGAACACCCACCTCAGGAGTTGGGAGAAAATCAAAGCGGACAGCCCAGACGGACACCCAAGGCGACTAACGGGCCTGTCGGACCAGCTGAGGCGCAGGAAGAGGAAGGAGCTCGAGGCGCACCTAGCGGGCAAGGGCGGCTGGCCCGGCACAAACGGAGGGGAAAGGAATGGGGAGGGCGGGGATGGGGAGCGGTCGGTCCCGTCGGCGGCCGTGGCTGAAGTAGTGGTGTCGCTGCTGCCCGCCGCGCCTGTGCTGCTGGGCGTGGTGCGTGTCGTGTGTGCGGTCAGCCGCCGCTGGTCGCCGCGGTGCTGCTTGTGGCGCTGGCGGTGCTGAGCAGGCGCAATCGTAGAGCAACTGCCGCCCCACAGACGCCAAGATGGTCTCGGCGCTACCTCAGCTGCTGCCGACCGTAACAGATGACCTCGGTCCGCTCCGCGGCGGCCACCCTGAGCCTGAGCCCCAGCTCCCCTGGTTCACCACCCGCCGGAGGCTTGCTCCGTCCAGGCTTCCCAGGACAGCCCCCCTGAGCCGCGGACATCCTTATTCTCGTCGTGGTTCGTGGTTCGTCGTGGTTCGTCCCCCTCGGCCCCTCCCCTGAGCCTGAGCCCCAGCTCCCCTGGGCCACCCCCCCTTGACCCCTCCCCTGAGCCTGAGCCCCAGCTCCCCTGGGCCACCCACCCTTCGGAGGCTGGCTCCGTCCAGGCTTCCCAGGGCAGGCCCCCTGGGCCGCGGACATCCTTATTTTCATCGTGGTTTGTGGTGGTTCGTCCCTCTGGGCCCCCCGCCTCCGGCCCGCCGGCCAACCCCCCCCTCGGGGCCCCCTTCCCCCCGAGCCTCCCAAGACAGCTCCCATGGGCAGCCGGGAGCAGTCGTCTTGGAGCCCCTCCTGGAAGGAGGAGGCGAGGGCCTCGAGTCCTTCGCAGCTCCTGTGTGCAAGAGCCAGGGCACGCGTGCCACTTGTTTATTCTGTTGTGGCGGATCTGGATCAAAAGGCCCCCCCTCTCCACGCGCGAGCCCGCTCCCCTTCGTCCGCGCGTGCTTTCCATGGCCGCTGTCCCGGAGCCCGAAAGTGGCGGACCCGTCGCCGTGGAGGAAGAGCTCCGTGATGCCCGTGTTGTGCAGGCCGTACCGTATCTGGCGGGCAGCGCTGAATCGCTTGCGCACTCTGAGACAACTCCTGGGGAGAACGTCGTAAGAGAAGCAACAATATTAGGAAGCCTGTGAGCCGGACTAAGCCACATTGGGCCAGGATTAAATAAGCCCGATTTGGCCAGATTGAGCGGGTGTCAGACAGAACTATGCCGGAACAGCGGGGTGTTCGAACACAAATCTACCATCGCCGATGCTGAATCCAACCTCCCAAGAGTTGCATTCTAACGCACGCAAGCGTACAGTAGACACATACGATCAGAAATCTTGATATAACCAAAATCTGCGGGCGCGTCTCATCCAGTCCTTGGGGGTCCTTAAGGGGCACAGGGCTTCTGTGGGCATGTCGTCGAGTCTGTGGGGGCCCTGACGGGCCCCAGGGCTGGGTCCCCGGGGCCATCGAGGGAAAAAGATCTTCCGTGGGGCACCTGATGGCTTCTTGACGTGCCTACCGTAGATGGTAGATGCTCAGCCGGTGCCAGTACTACTCTGCAGCCTTCGCATGAACAGGAGCTCACATGCCCGAGTGGGGGGACTCCCGACAAGAAACAGGCGTGAGGGATCGGGGCGTACCAGGATGCGACCACCCACTGGCAAATGCTGCAGCAGGAGAGCAGCACAAGCATGCACAAACAGAACCTCATCGGAGATCCGAGAGTGCATGCTTATGCCAGACGGACACTCAAAAAACGTCCCAGCACCAGGCATGCGCTGATGATAGCCTGGACAGCTGTCGGCCGGAAGTGGGTAGAAACATAAAGCAGGAACGCGTTGGACGTCGAGTGGGTCTCCGCCCCCCCCTGAAGAGGAGGGAAGAGGGAAAACCGCCCGACCATTGAAGTAGGAAGGCTCCCGAAGTGGGCCGAGGTCTGGGAATCCAGACAATTACCGGCGCGGGCAAGCACCGTGGGCGTCTGGACGCGCCTCGCCAGATGTCCCCGCAGCTCCACAGCCGAGAAGCCGCAGCGCAATGCCCTCGTCGGGGAGACGGAAGACTCGGGTTCGGGGCCATCATGAAAACGATGAGACCCAATCCGAAATCAGACGCGAGCTCCCGCTGCAAGCATCCCACGAAGACTGAACCGTTCAAGATCCAGGACGCGCTCATCAGAACGCGTGGGCAAACGGGAGCTCCGGGGTTACTCGAGTCCTACGTTTCCCCGACCTCGGCGAGGGGCCACAAGCCCCACCATGGCCAAGAACACTAGCGACGTGCGCAGAGGCGCGGCCCGCCGATCATCCCTAAGGGAGACCAGGACAAACATATCAAGCAGCATAGGAGGGGAGGGGAGGAGGGAGGGAGGGGCAGGAGGGGAGGAGGAGGGAGGGGCAAGAGGGAGGGAGGGGAAGGAGGGAGGAGGGAGGAGGGAGGAGGAAGGAAGGAAAGGAGGATGGAGGGAGGGAAGGGGAGAGGTGCAGGAGGCAAGCTTGGTGCGCTCGCGCAACAGCTGAAGTCATACCCCTCCCTCCCATCCCTTCCCATGGCGCAGATATCCTCTCCATTCGCACAGCCGAATGCCGAGCAAGGCAATGATCCCACGAGGGTACGCGATGGATGGTAGAGCACGGCATAGCATGGCGTAGAAGCGCACGGCGGAGCATAGCATGTCATAGCATTGCGTCGTGAAGCAGTGCATAACAAAGCATTGCAGCGCAAGCATAGCATCGCACAGCGGCACAGAACACAACACCGCGCTGCATGTGATGGCATGGCACCAGCTTCCTTGAAGTTGATCGTCTTCGAGGGGTCTGGGCCGCTGAAATGCCCCTGTTCAGCCCCGTGGGCTCCCCCGACAGCTCCCCATGAGGCGCGGCTGATAGACAGCACCCGCTGGCTCCGCTTTCGACATCGCCTTCTCAAAGCAGAGACGGGACTCCCGCCAGATACTTCTTCAAAACGATGCAGCGGTAGCACGACTTGGAACGACCAGAAGCGCAGATATGGGGTCAGCGTTGCAGCGGGAACGACATGTTGAAGGACCGAGAAAAATCGGAGTGTCAAAAACACATGTGCAAACCAAACTCGCAACAACATTGCGTAAAGGAACACAACGCGGAAGGGTGCCGGCCATCTTCCGCACAGACTCAGGGGAAAGAGGAGGGTAGTATTCATATCCCACCAGCCCTCTGGGCGTGAGTGGTTTAGAGAGCCCCAGTATGTTCTTTTATAATATACACCCCTCCCCCAGGCAACAAGCGTCCAACCATGAACCATGAGGACACCATGACGACCCGCCCCCACCATCTCTGTCAAAAGCGGCCAACCCGTTGCGCCCCCTCTTCCATCCCTGTCAAAACATAATACAAAGTACACTTCGGGGCTCGGCGGGGGTGTCAACATATTCCCTGCTGCGCGCAGGGCTACCATCCCGGAACTCGCCGGTAAATTTGGATTATGCGCGGCCATCCCGCGATCACTTCCAAATGGTTTTTGACAGGGACCGCGGGGGTGGTGGCGCGTGATCTGCTGTGCGCGGGCACACCAAACAAAATGATGGGCATTGATTTTCGACAAGGATGGTGGGGGCCGAAATGTGTTCCGATGTGTGCTGTCACGTGCGCAGGCGCACCTGGCGCACTCTGCACATGCCCCGAACGTGGCGCACCTGGCGCGGCTGGAGTGTGCGGCGCACCTGGCGCACTCGGAGCACGTGGCGCATCTGGCGCACCAGGCGTGCCTGGCACGCTCGGGACCCCAGGGGTGCCTGGCGCGCGTGGCGCCCCGCACGCGTGGCGCACCTCGCCCAAGCGTCGCGCACCTGGGGTCGGCTTTGGTTCCCAACAGCTGCCCATCCAAAGACGACCGCTGAACATGCTCAGGCTCGGATGTGACTTACTTATGTGTTGGGAGGGCGGGTGGGAGTGAGCTAGACTGCTTGCGGGCGGGTGGGTAGCTTGACCCCTCCCTCTAACCCTCCCCCTGTGCCTGCAGGATGGGGGGCGCGGGTCGTTGGAGCGTCTGTATCGGCCTCATATGGCGCCAAGACAGCCCGATAGAGCTGACGATTACCTGCAAGATCGCTTAAGATAACCCTCCATGACTCAAGATAGCTCCTGACAAGACTACGCGGGGCTCCAAGACCGCCCCAAGACGGCCCCAAGTGGCCACGGAGCCTCCCAATGACGCCCTCGAGAGGCCAAAATCATATCAAAACCTATGAACAACTACATGTGGTGTCCTTTCCTCGCCGGTTCGCTTTCAATGTGCTCTTGAAGCTTCAAGATGGCCCCAGGATGGCCCAAGAAAGGCCCAGTATGGGCACACGAACGCCCAACACTGCCTCAAGAGCGGCCCAAAAAGGCCCCAACAAACAACTTCTCGGGTTCCGAAGGAGGGGCCGTAACTGTTGCCGCGCTCAGTGTTGAGCCGTGGCCTCCAAGGTGGCCCCCAAGGACCTCCCAGACTCCCCCAAAGAGCCCCAAGAGGGCCCCAAGACTCCCAAAAAGAGCTCCAAGGTTGCCTCAAGAGGCACCACGGGGGCTCCAAAAGGGCCTAGAGGCCTCCAAAATGTCCCCACGAAGGCCCTTGGATGGCCCCAAGATGCCTACAAGAAACTTTCACAAAAAAGGACCCAGAAAAGGCATTGATGGTTGACTCGTCGTCGTCTTCGTAATCGTCGTCGTCTTCGTCGTCGACGTCGTCGCGGTCGTCGTCGTCGTCGTCGTCGGCGTCGTCTTCGTTGTTGTGGTCATCGCCGTCGTCGTCGTCGTCGCCGCTTGCTCCCTCTCGCCTCCCACCGCCTTCTCTTTGTCTTCCTCTTCCGCATCGTCTTCTACCCGCTCCTCCCGCAAGGAAGAGCTAAAAGGGAGCAAGTGGGATGTAGAGGCAGGAGGGTACATGCGAAGGCGGGAAAAGGTGCACTCGAAAACGACGACATTCTGCATGCTTCGCGAAAGTTGCTGTTTTGGGATGGGTTGGCGGGGTAACTTTTTTGCTCGCGAGCGACGCAGCTGGCTGCGCGCCGTTCAAGGGGTCGAAAGCAAGAGTCGAGCACAGGGCAGTAGCCGCCGGCGACACGAGGAAAAATAAACAAGCGAAGCACAGCGGCGACGCGGTAGAGGCGGGAGCAAAGACAACAGAGGAAAAGGGCGAAGGAAACGACAGAGGAAGAAGGCGAAACAAGAGAAACAAGAGAGACAAAGAGGAGAAGACGAACGCGCAGGAGGTCAGGCTCAGGCGACGAAGAACAGGAAGTACTTTGCCGAAGAGCAGGCACTTGGAATACAAGGGGGGGCGACGTACAAACCAGCAGGCAATCTCCAGGGCCATAAGATAAACCACATAATAGGCGCACTCCTGGGTCAACCAGGGGAAAGAGCACGCGCCAGGAACGATGTGAAGACGGGCCAGTAGGGATAGGGCTGGTGGGGATACGCGAAGCGTGAAAAATTGTCCAATTGTGGAAAAAGGGGGGAAATCATATGAGATAAGATGAGATGAGACAGTGGCCTAACCAGGCTCGCAGAGTTAGCCGACGGGCTCGCCGTCGGGGTCAGACGAGGCCTCCCCCTCCGAGCCATCTGTACAGAGGGTCCTGCTGCGGGTTTCCACCGCAGCGAGATCAGCCTCGCCTATGCCGAAGGCGCCCAGCACACCAGGCTGCAGTCCCCCTTGGTCCTGCGGGCTAGGACTGAACAGGGAGCGCATCCTCGCACGGATCTCCGCAGGGACTCCTTCTGGCGTTTCCTGCTTATAAGACGGATACTGGCTGACCCTGATCCGACGCAGCTGGTCGACCAGGCCGGAACCAGCATGCTCACGGTAACAGGTGGCAAGGGTGGAGGAGGGCTTTCGCGGGACTAAACAGCCGAGAAGAAGGCCCCACAGGCACAACAGAAGGACAGGGCACGATTATCGTTTCTCCCGCTCGTCACCACCTTCATCGCCGGAGAAGGAGGGAGAGGAGGAAGGAGTGAGGGACAGGAGGGACGAGGAAGGAGGGGGGAGAGGATGGAGGGAGGGAACGGGGGGGGGTCACTCGTGGGCGTGATGTGCGGACTGCAGCAGGAAAACTAAGGGATACAGTGGGGAGAAACCAGGCCTCTCCGTACTCCCAGCGCTTCGCGGTGCCGTCCACAAGGATCTGGCAGAGTAGGTCTGAGATCGTCTGCGGGGCATGCCGCATGCCGCTCGCTTGCAAAAGCGCCGCAGGCCCGCTGTGCATGTGATAAGAGAAGGAAACACACCATAAACATAAACGTTTGGAGGTCCGCGCGGCTGATTTTTTGGATCCGAGCTGGACCCCACAAACGGAAAGCAGAAACGCGCACCTTTCATGCCATTGTTAGGGACCGCGGTGGGAATTGAGGCCGCTCAGGGCCCCTTTACGGGAATCCTCGGCCCCAGTATCACCGTCTGGAAAACGGCTCCCAGATTCCACAAACAGTGAAACATCGAATCCGACGAAAACTGGCACCTCGGCGATTAATTAACCTTGCACTACTTTCCCTGCGCAATGCAGGGTGCCAACGGGGCGCCCATAGCCAGAAACGCCAACCAACACACGGATGACGCCCACGAGGCGCCGCTGGCCGAGCAGCGGTCGAGCACATGGGAATCCCGCCCAGTCCAAAAACAAACGTGGAATTTCTAATTGCAAGCGCGGATTGGGAAACGACTGCCTGCTCGAGCACAGTTCAATCGATCCCCACCCCCACTGCCTGGCATGGCGTTGGCCCCTGTGGCCCGTTCCCCCCCCTTGAGAAGGGGATGTCGGCTGTCTCCTTCGGGTTTCGAGGAGCCTCTCCCCAAGCGAGGGGGGGTGATGGTTGAGCTGAGATCTGTTTCGATCCGCGGGCCCACAATTCCCGACTGCTTCCCCGCTGGTAGTTTTTCGCCCCGGCCCGGCCCGTTTCTGACAACCCTGGGGTCTCACATGGCGAACGCTAGGTGCCGAATCGAAGAACTACGCCGGGGAGGGGGGCCCGGGAGGCAGAACACTGATGGGGGCGAGTCATCGACGGTTGCTAAAGGTGCCCCCGGGCCAAGGTGCCCCAAATTGTTCGCTCCATTTTTGGGCCCTTCGGACCAGGGGTGCTTTTGGAGGCCGTGTGAGCCTCCTTGGAAGTCCCAGGGGCACCTTGGGCCAGGGGCACCTCTAGCAGGACGAACAGGGGGAGGAGGACGAGGAGGAGGAAGTGGAGGAGGAGAAATGTTAATAATAACAATGATAAGAAAATACTAAATACCATACTACTGGAATGCATACGATCATGATAGGAATGTGATGAAGAAAAATAACCATACTAAGAGGAATACGAATAATAATAACACTACGAATCACAAACAGAAGCGCACTCGGCATTGCTCGTGGTCTGTGCCGTGCCATGTTCGCGCGTGCTGACGTGCAAACAGAGTCCCATTTCGAACGATCATCGATCGCGTGTGACAAGGTCGCAACTAGCGCGCACCGCACAGCCTGCCGTACGTGCGTGTACCCAGGCAGTCGCAGATCGTGAAACCCATCGGGGGCTGGGGGTCGGGGGCCCCTCCTGCCTCTCACAGCTGAGCCCACGTCGCTGCGTGCAGCGGGCACGCCACCGAGGCACCCACCCCGCCCAAAAGAAAACTGCACCCCAGCAGGCGACGGGCGAGAAGGGCACGACACGAAGGAGAGGCGACGGGGCGAGAGGGAGAAGCCAAATCCGCCGTCGGCGGGCTCGGGGGCCCGCCGCAGACGACGTCGGCGGCGCCGGTGCAGCCGACGCTGAGACGCCCCACTGCACGATTTCCGAATGCGCAGAACATCCGGTCCCACTGCCGAGACAAAGCCCAGCTGAGACCAGCAAAAGGACCACGATGGCAACTCCCCATCCAGCCGATGTTCGGGGCGGGGGCCACGCGCCGAGCAGCTCAGACGCGGGCTCCCAGATCTCAATCTTCGCAGGGGCGAAGGTGCCCCTTCGCAGGGGCGAATGCGACCGAAGCGCAGGGCGCAACCATAATCTAACCGCACCGGCCCCGCGAGAGAGTCTCGACCCAGACGCGTCAACATATCGGAGACAGGCACCCCCAGTCTACCTCCGCGGTCGCGGGAAAACTGCGGCAGCAATTTCCTCTGCAGAGAAACTGGCCATCGACCGGGGCCTAGCGTCGCGAAAGAGCGGCTCGAAAAAAGGTGACCGGGCAAGCTTGCCCCCCCTGAATTCGCGCGCGGACAGATGCGATTAGAGAAGGCGCCCGCGCCGCTGCACACGTCCGCAAAGCTGGGGGGTCGGAGGGCGCCGCGCCGACCCCCTCGCCATCGTCGGACGACTGCTGCCGCGCCCAAAGATCCCCCGACGCAACTCAACTTATCGAGGTCGACGGGCAGGCGAACAAACAACCTACGCAGTGAGAGAAGCTGCCAGGATAAATCGCGCATCGCTGGCAAGCCTTGCCCTTTCCTCTCTCGCCAGGGCGCGCGCGAGCAGGGCCGCCCGCCTGGCCTTCCAGCCCTCCATTTCTTCCCTCGCCTCCGAGGTTGTCCGGCATGGTTTTGACGGCCCACTTCTGGGCCGGCGCCTCCAAGCGCCCCTGGGGGTCGCCCTGGGCATGAGCGCGCGCCCCGCGATGGCGCACGGCTGGGCGATGGACTGCTCCACCTCGAAGATGCTCAACGCCCGCCCCTTCGTCTGACCCTGGCCCGCGCTCGACCGGGGAACCGCCGCGTCGCCCACGGTCGCGAATATCAGCCGAGCGTTGTCCTCGCCGCAACACTTCTAGCATCGGAGCTGACCGATCATCAAGCCGTACTTCTCTCGGAAAATGCCGCGCCCCCGTAGCTCGCTGCCCCCGTCCGTCTTCGACTTGTCCGCCTCGAACGTCGACGTGGGAGCGCCTCGCGCAATGTGCAAATGCGAAGGGCCCAAGGAAGTTTCGCCGCTGAGACATTCACCGCTCCGGCGCACATCTTGCCCGCCGCGCGCGCTGCCACGGCGAGGGCGCGGTTGGCGCGACGAGAAATGGCCACTCCAACGCCGCCTGGCCCCTGGGCCGCCGCGCGCGCATGCGCGTCGCCTTCGGCAAGAGCGAAGTCGCCCGCTGAATGTCTCGCGCGCGAAGCCCACTCGACCTGTCGTTGCTCTTCTTCCGCGTCGTCTGCAAAGTCGCTCAGCTGGGCCCTCGCGCAGGGAGAGAGGGGGGGGGCGCGGCGGCGCCGTCTGCTGCCCCCCCGGCGCCGCGCGCTCCCTGACCAGCTCGTCGAATCAGTCCACGGGCGCCTCGCCGCCCTCCGTCGCGAGGTCGAACGCGAAGCCGCGAGAGGACAGGGTCGCCCAGCGCGCAGTGGGATCGGATATGGGGCTGCACACCCTGTAGCTCCCCAGCCGCAAAACTGCGCGCTGAGCAGCCTAGCAAGCAAGGCTGCGCCTCCATTGCCGCGGAGCCGCGCCGCCCGACCGCGAGCCGACTGCCGCCGCGCGATCGCGCCGCGCGCCCCCGCGCGTTTCCTTTGGCGTCGCGAGACTGGCGGCGTCTAAATTACTGGCTAGCGACCGTGAGAAGAGCGGCCTCGTTGCGCACTTTGCGGATTCAACCTGCGCGGTGACGAAGGGCCTGCGCGCCCGCGAAGGTGCTGGCGCGCGCGCGCGCCCGCTCGAATATCGTCGAGCGCTGCGTCTGACGTCCCCAAGCGCCCCCCCCCTTCCACGTACTCCTCCAGGGCGGCGTCATCGGGGGCCAATTCGGGCCGCGGCGGCGGGGCGAAAGAATTCGAGGAGTTGTTGGCCCTGCCAATCGCAGTCCATCCCCGCCCAGGCATCGAAATCGCTCGAATGGAGGGGCCCAGGCAGGGGGGGGCCCTGGGGAGATAGGTCGGCGAGCTCCTCCGACTGGGTTCGAGAGAGCGCCTGCCGAGCCCGCGGTTTGGCCTTTGAGCGAGTCGTCGTCCAGTCCTGGCCCATGCTGGAGGCCCCAATTCAGGCTTCCTAAATCCTAGGATGCTCGTTCGCAACTGTCTGCCGGCACCGGGGAGTCAAATCCAAGAGTGGCATCGTCGGAAACGACGGAGTCGATATCCGTCTGCGATCGCGGGATCCGCCGATAGTCTCAGACCCTTGTAGAGATCCGCAATAACTCCCCGTCGTGGCCCTCGGCCCCCCTGACCCCGGCCCCCTTCGCGTCGCTGGCAATCTAATTCGTAGATGAGGGCGGCCGAGCGCGCCGCTCCTCTCGAAGCCTCGCGCAGAAGACTGCGGGGGGTAATGTCGTGCCCAGTCCAACCCGATTGAAGCTCACTTCCCTCCTCAGTCCGCTGCGACCCCCGCGCCGCCGGCCAACCGCCGAGCACGCGCGCGGGTCTGCCGGGGCGCCGAGAGGCGCAAGGGGCCAGAGCGCAGCAAGAGAATGCGCCGCGCCGCACCCCCCTTCCCCGGCCAGCCGCGCCAGGGCAGCCCGCTTGCCGTCGTCGAGCCCCGCCCCGCCCAGGGGGCTGCCAGCTTTCTACTGCTGGCGAGTGCCAGCGCAGTCAAATGTCGCGCTTCCCCGCCCCCGCCCAGAATGTCAGGCCCTCGTCCTGGGACGGGGCGCTTTGCGCCATTGCCCGCGCAGGAGGCGACCCCCGCGTCGGCGCAAGAGCCGTCGATCTCCAGAACCCGCGCGTCGGCCCAGGAACTCGCGCTGGCCCGCCCGCGCAAGAAAACTCCCGACGCCTCCAGAAGCGGGGGCCGCAGGGGGGCGGGGCGCTCGGGGGCCGCCGCTTGCGTCGCCGCCCGCATTGCGCGATCGCGCTGAAACAGGGCGCCCCCCGGCAAGTGGGGGCCTGCAAGGGCCTCCGGATAAAGCGCCCCGCTCGGCGCTGGCAGATGCGCCCGCGGCGTCCTCGCTCGCGTTAGCGCCATTCTGAAGCCGCTAAGAATACGCGCGGGCCGCGAAATCGACGGGCCGTCGTCGCCAAGCTAAGCCGTGGCAAACGCAAGGAAGCGCCTCGCGATGCCGACGAGCTCTGCTCCACAGGTGCGCGTTCCAAGCTTTGCCCGTGGGGCGGAAAGATGAACCCACTCCTGACCCAGCAGGCCCAACTTGCCGCCCCCTACGTCGACGCCGACGACGCGGGAGATGTCGAAGATCAGCGGGGTCGAGAAGGCCCGGCGAAAGGAGGCAATCACGCCCGGCAGTCGCCCCTGAAAA